TGCGGCCCTGTACGCCGTCCTTGCTTTTGGCAATCACGCATTCATTCTATCTTGGGTGTAAATACACTATAGACCAGTTAGGTGAAAATTTAAATCTTCCGCCTTTTGTTGGGTACTTCGACAAAATTTAAGCAAGGAGGAATCTTTATACTTTTTTAATCTCTCTAGCTTTCAATGGTCTTTGCCATCATCATCAGGAGAGTAGTATGTGAGGATGCTGCTAAATATTATTTCCGTTAAGGATGAGGGAAACACCCAGTAACAAGGTGAAAGCTGGATACATGGTACATTTTGACTCTCGACGTTGAGGTTGCAGCCAAAAGGTGTTTCGAAACGAACGTAGAGAGAGAGAGGTTTTTTGTGGTATTATCTAGGTTTTCCTATAAGATAAGAAGTTGGAACTAGCTGTTATTTACTCGTTGCGTAGATGTACGTGTTGCCTGAATGTCATGACGTTTCAGCTTTCATGAGTTGTTTCTGATGTGATGTAACGTATGCCTCAGAGATGGGATCATTGGAGATCTAAGCTGTAAGGTGTAAGAGAATAGTCAAAACGGCTGTATATAGGAGCTCGGTGAGGATTTGTGTTCTAATAATCTTTGTTGATGATAATTCCTTGGTTTCTTGTCTTGATTAAACTTATTGGGATGTAGGCTTCATCAGTATATGCAAATTTGCTACATTTCAAAACCTAGAGAGATAAATGAGATGAGATGCTACAGACAGGAATATTTATGAAACGTAAAAAAGTTATAAAACTTATACTTAGCCTCGCGTACCTACTCGGCTTTCTGCAACCGACAGGCAACCAACAATGCATGTTGTGCCGTTGAGTAGTTCCTCCATAGATGGTCGCTTTTGCTGACACTCATAACGGTCATAGCAAGCCAACGTGGAATGAACTATTTGCACACTAAAAACTGCCTGATTGGCAAGATGGAATTTTGTCGTTTATTTTACGTTATTTTAGGTTTTTTAAATAATACTCTTGCCGATGACGATGAACCAGATGGTTTATGTCAAGCAGTCAATGTCAGAGAACAAAACAAATTTTACTCACATCCAACAGGAACCTTTATAGTAGAATCATATTCACATTTTGTGGTATTGTTTACCATTCATTTCTAGATCCGGTATCTATAAAACTCTTGCAGAAAATACAAAATTCTTGTTGTAGATTAGAGTAAAAAACTTGAGAAAGTACGACCATATTTCGATATCTTTTCAAAAACTAGGTTGGTTGAATACTACAAAATTCTATAAATATCACTTACTATGTTATGTTCATAAACTCCAAATTACCTCATTACCTCCGCACTTCATTTTTCCAGAAACGCTTCACCTTTTGATAACCTTAAAAGACATGTCAAGAATTTACTGTTAGAGTGCCAAAATTAAGAATACTTATCTTTCACTTCTGCTTATAAAAATAGTATTTATTCAGGTATGAGTAATTATACTAAATATGTACTTATATTTTTGTTATAGGTACTTATTATGCATCTGATTGTCAATGTCTATTTTATTCATGTTTGTATCTATTTTTGTATGTATAAAGTGAAGGAATAGCTCAAGCTAAATAAACAGACGTTTATTATTATTATTTTATGGTAGAGGCGTGGAAAGACTTGTTTGGTTTGAACTTTGACGAAGTTTCATACTTGAACTTGAAGAGCGGTATTGTCACTTCTCGCACCAGTGACAAAAACGCGTATTTGCTAGTAAACCGGTTTATTACTCCTCATCACACTAACTTATAGCAACATATAACTAATTCATAACAGATTCATTTTTCATTCTCGGTCCTCGATCGACTGCCTTTTGTTCTTCATATGGTTCAAGCATACTCGAGGGTTGTTGTACTCCGTAGTTCTGGTAGTCACTTATAGATGGCATTATTAGTTGTTCTGCTGACGCAGAATGCAACTCTCGCGGCAGCGCGATCATGACATTACTACAGAAAAGAAAGGAAACGTCCACAATGTTATACAGAAGATATTAAACCTTTTGGTGACAATATATTGATCTTCCGCCAGAATAAAGATTTCGGGACATATCGAAGGATCATATCTATCTTCTCTATGATTTTCTGGTCGAATCAAACGACACATGTATAAATTACTTTTTACTGACGTTTTTCTTTCAAAGTACAGTGAGAATGATATATATATAACAAAAAGTAGAAAAATAATGGTCAAAATCCGCAAAAAAGAGGGAAGTGGATTCGAGCAGAAAATAGGATAGGTAACCCGAGCGATACGTATTTCTGCTGGTTGGCTTCATCAGGCCCGAAATGAATGCACATATGAAACTACAAAAGTTGATACACATGCCCACACATTCGGATACGGGTGTAACCTGAGGAACCGAAGATGGAGAGGGAAAAAAACGACACACGAAGTCCACAACTTTGCTGGTGCTGTCTTTAAATTATAATGCGATTCTGTCATGGTACAGGATCGTTGAGGATATCGTCACAACACACTATATAGTAGCGGAGAAAACAGAAAAAGCTGTAACCTGGAAGACAATCATATCAATTTTTATTTGAATTGTGATCGACTTCGCTGTACATCAAGAAGCTGCCACGAATACTGAGCACTGGATAATGCGGTTATCGTAAATTGATACACAGTAGAATTGGTAGATTCAGCCGCCCATAGACCAGAGGGTGTTAGGGTGAGTAATGCGTGAAAACAGTGACGTCAATGTTCGCCTGGACGGCCAGTCAGTCATCTGGACATGATCAACTGGGATGGCGGACTTGGCGCTACCGCACTGACAATTAATAGCCGTTATCATGCTCAATTATCTGCCAGAGGCGCAAAAAGGGAGAAAGGACGGCGCCGTGAGGTCGATCGAAGCTTTTTTGCGATGGAGTTTCAATTCCAGAAAAAGCGATACTTTCAGCTTTGAACAGAGGGAAGCCGTTGCTATCAGATTTACCTTAGGGTCTCCGTTGCTGAAGATTCAAAAATGTGATACCTACGGAGTCGCTTCTAGGGAAAATCTGGTGCGTAGAGCCGGAATCTGGACTCAGTGTCTTGCTGAGATCTGCGGAAGTCTCCAAAAGTCCTCTTTTTGTACTTCAAATACAGCATTAGCGATATTAGCATTTTTTATCGTTATCATCGAAATCAACGTTCCAAACTACCCCTGGATACAAAGTTCTAACCTCCTGTAGCAGCAGCAGACGGAAATGAAAATTTTGAATTGAGAAGCTCATAAAACTATAAGGAACATTTTCAAAAATAAATGTCTCTGATCTCATGTTTTCGCAGATATCTGAAGAATGACCTAAGGTTGAGACTTCCCTTTGCACAGCATACAGGTCAGGCAATAATAAGCAAGTTTTTTAGTAACACCTACACCCAAGCCTTAAGATAACCAAGAGAATAAGTTGCAGAAAGCTCTAAAAAGCCGTTCCCACCCTGCCTCCCTCCCCTCCTACGTCAAAGAGTATAATGTTCTGTGGTATAAGGACTATATGAGTCAGTATCCAAGTCAGGCGCCATTCGGTGTGTAGGTTATATCCTGGTTTATAAACAAACTACATTTGAAAACCAAAATTGGCATATTCTGTTAGCAATAATGTATTTTTATAGCTTAACTGTTATTTTATTCTGCAAATCATCAACATCCTATTGATACTCCGGGAGTGTATACGAATATTCAGAACGTCGCTGTATTCTCGATATTTCCATCAGAGCTGCGCAGGTTTGTTTATACCGTACATAAGCCGGACACAGATAAAAACCCAGACAGCGCCAAATGTTGCAAAATTAGTAAAAAGTAAACAAACTCGTGTTTTTTAATCGTACCAAATAAATAGTGAGTATTTATCTTAAATTTATTATTTACGTTTTCGGTTCTGTAGCACCACAAAATAATTTTATTTTTTTGGAAAGTTTCAACTGTATAAATGTCATCCGCTGGTAGAAACAACAGACGAAATTCGATATTTTGCATTGAGGGATTCGTAAGGCTTGAAGGGATAGAGGAGAGTGCCCAAAACCAAACATCTAATTTTTTTATAGACTTGAGAAAAAATTACAAACAGCTAGGCGTTTGTTCTATGGACCTACAGCGTTTACTTAGTAATGTTCACGTTCTCCAAATTTTGGAAGCTTGCATTCGTCGTTATGTTTTATTTAGGTTTCATGATACGTACCTGACTTCATTACAGGAACTGCAGTATATTTGAAATACTGCCTTATTTTTGGAAATAAATTACAAGATAAATGAGATAGCAAAATAAAAAATGCATTAAATTATTGGGAAGTTATTAAATTTTAATGGTACAATCAAACAAAAAAAAAACAAGGAACCCTATTAAAATAAAAAACTCCAACAGCGTAAATTTACGTGCGGTGCAGGTAATTTGGAATATTGTATTCCAAACTATAATCACCCTTTTTGACAATTGTTTCCACTTTTTTTAAGAAACTAATATGTTTCACAAAATAGCTTATAATTATTAATCATTAAGTATCAGACACAATAATCACAAATCAGTATTTAGCATGAGCTTATAGTTCAATGTCCTTAGGTTACTTTTCTTACAATAATCACAAATATACACAGGATTCGTAACCTCTACAAGCAGCATGAACCCACAATTCGCACATTAAGCACAGTACCTATTTCAAATTAACAACATCTTAAAATTCCATGTCACATTTTCAATTCTAAATATATTCACAAAATCAAAATCAGACTTCCCTCGTTTTACGCGGCATATTTATACGCGGTTTCGCTTACAGGCGTTTGCGCTTTTGACACCAGTGATTTATTTTACGCGGTTCACTTATACGCGGTTGCTCCCCGCCTTTCAGAGGCGCGCGCCTTCTGATGCATCGCGTCACCGCGTGGTTTCAACGTGCAATCGGGCATGACCTGATTAGTAGGGAATATCCTGGGCACCTTTTAAAATTCATTGAAGAAGGTTTTAAGCCTGAGCAGGTTTTTAACGCGGACGAAACTGGCTTGTTTTGGAAAAAGTTTACAGGAAATAAATCCCAATGTTCGAGTAGAATTTCTTCCACCAAACACCACATCAATCCTACAGCCTCTTGATCAGGTAATCATTGCCATCTGCAAAGCTTATTACACGCGACGCACGCTTAAAATGCTGTTAGAAAACTTGGAACGCGACCCTACAAAAACATTAAGCCAATGCTGGAAGGATTACACAATTGCAGATTGCCTACATAATATTAAAGAATCGATTGGTGAACTTAAAAAATCGACATTAAATGGCTGCTGGAAAAACTGAGGGCCAGAAATTGTGAAGTCTCATGGGAAGGTGCCTGATATCAGAGATGAAATCAAAGAAATTGCTGATTTAGGAAAGTCATTATCTGGAGAGGGATTCGATGATATGGACGATATAAATCAGCTATTTCAATCGCATAATGTTGAACTCACTGAAAGAGAACTCATAGAACTGACGGAGAACAATTATGAAGCTCAAGAAAAAGGTGAAGATGATGAATTAGTCCCGGCACCAAAGGAGTTGACGTTGAAAACGCTTAATAAATGTTTTACCATGGCACACTATCTCACCGAGCTGTTAATCAGCGAAGATCCTACAGTGGATCGAAGTTTAAAAACTAAACGAGAGCAGCAGCATTGGCGCCATACAAGGAAGTTGAGAAGAATTTACGCAACGAAGCTGAACAGTCAAAAATTACGTCTTATTTTTCTAAAAATTAATATTTTTGTTAAAAAATTAACGTTTAATGTTCTCATACATAATATGTACAAACATACTTATGTATATTATGTACTTAACAAAAGTTTATGTAATAAAATGTTTTTATTTCGATATACGCGGTTTCTTTTTACGCGGTGTTTTCAAAGAACGTTACCCCGGCGTAAAACGAGGGACGCCTGTAAAATTGTAAGCTAACAAGAACACATAATAGTTCAAATAATTGCAATGAAGATTTTACGTATCGTAGTAGATGATTATCAACAACTGCACTCTTACCGAAAAAGTTTTCAAAGTAGACGTCTCGTTCCCATGGGGCTGGCAGCAGAAAATATCAAGATGGCGTCCCGTTTTTAGTACTTGTGGTTTTGTGTTACGATGTTACGACGTTATATTCGAGGCAAAGAAATACATATAGCGCTAATATTTATTTAGCTAACTAAGTGTTCCAAGTTACGTGCTGTATTCCGAATATGCTGCACTTCTTCTACTCTCATTTTGTTGCAGGTAAACTCTGCAAAAGAAGAAAACGGCCCACTCGAGCTATGTGATATCGAACCACTAAGTGGTACTGTGTTCAGAAAAGTGACAGTTCGCAGGAGGAGACAGGAGAATATGAAAAAGATGGCTGCCATTGATGGTGGTGAGTTTGATGTTTCTATCATGCATGCTAATACATGATGTACTCCTCAATTTTTCATTGAAATAGGTACACATCAGTTACTGCAAGCTAAATCAACTCTAGATGTTGGTTACCTATCTTATCAAGTATGTTGTCTTGTCGCTTTTTGTCGACTCTAAATGCTTATTCTTACCTAAGTAACGTCCCGGAATTCCATGGCATCTCTGAAGCAACTTTGTATAGGGTGGTGCGTTTGGGTCCGACGCATTTTATATGGTTGAAAAAAATGCTAGGATTCAAACTAGGTGAGGAAAATAAATTTTCAAGAGTTGCAACGGCATTCGGCTCTATTACTCATAAATCCCCTTTAACAACTTCAGAAAATTTGGGCTTTCGTGGCACAACATACAAAATTATGAAAACTATTTTTCGGATCGAACACTGCGTCAAAATTAATAATAATTTAGTGTACCACATATCGTATCGTACGGTGAACCTCAAGGTACAGTATTAGGACCCATTTTACTTAATCTATCAACGCTTTTTTCAAAATTGGTAGTGCAGGTAATGTTATCGTTTTTGGAGCTATTCTCTATAAAAGTAACCAAAGGCTTACACTAAAAACCAAAATCGAAAATAATTTCAAAACATGATGTATAAACATCTTTTCGGAAAGAACTATGACAATTAATTACAACAAAGCACACTATATAGCACTTTCTTCTAAAAAACTTGAATCTCATACAAGCAGTAGTCTTAAAGAATTTAAGCAGCCGATAACATAAAATACTTAGGAGTGATTTTGGATAAACACTTGAAATGGAAAACCCATACAGATTACCTTGTGAAGAGACTGAGATGTATTATTCCAAAATTCAGGTACTTCAGAAATATTCTGGATGAGAAATTTCTATATAATATTTATTATGATCTTGTTTCTCCTCTATTACTTTACGGAATTTAGGCTTGGGGAGTTATGAATAAATAAATACAAAAAGGTTGATGTAATCCAAAAATTAATTCTAAAATTGATCCTCTATAAGGAGGTTACTGATTGTCTATATACGGAGGCTCAGCTATCAGAATGCAGACTTATTTTAGTTGTGGTCTAATAGATTATATTAAATATTCGAAATATTTGAATCGTACCATTCATAACTACCGAACAAGATTCAATCAACATTTAATATGTACTCCACAAACATCAAAAACCATTACACAACGATCTCTGTTTTTCTTGGGACCAAAGTTTTATAACTTCATACCAGAGTCATTAAAGGCATTTGAATCAATTAGATAGTTTAAAAAAGAACTCAAAAATGGATTTTACAACAATCAAGATGCTCCATCCACCAAATTGTATATATGAAAAATCATTATCAAAATAAATAATATCTTACACTAACATCCAAACTTTTACTTTAGTTATAATTGTCTGGATATTTTTCCTGACATCCCCATAATAATTCAGTTCACCAAGTTGTATAGTATTTACGTTTTTCAAACACTGGCTGTACTTTTAGTGTTTATTTTTAATAAACCCAAACGCAAGTATGCACTTTTATGGGTGCTTTATGTTTATTGTGCACAATATTTAATGTCTACCTGTACTTTGTGACAATAAACATTATTATTAAAAAAGCTACAAGTTATGTATGGAAAACAACACAGATCTGTGGTTAGCTACCCACGGTGTGAACATGGCCAACAGAACGAGAACACGCATTTGATGTCAACCTGCCAATAGCTTTTCAGTCACGCTACAAACTGCCCAGCTAAATTTCACTTATAAAACTTTGACTTTAGTTTTTGGAGACCAAATACTTATATTCCTTGAAAAAATGTTTTGAAAACTACCCCATTCCATAATAGTACAACAAAAACCGTAGATCGTTGGAAACCGACAAATAAAGTAAAAATACCAGTTGGCACCAAGGGCTCTTCATCAACTCATCGTCTATTATTTATAAATACGAAACTAATTCCCAGAGTGCTCTTTCATGTTTGATATTCCATTCTGACGCCTGGAGGCACTTTATATAAATATAAACTGCATTCCTTGAGACGCGAACTGCGTCAAAGGACAATAAATCCCAATATCGGCACCTCGTCAAAAGATCCATAACAGCCATAAACAACTTTGTGGCGCTGCGAATTGGAAGTTTTTTAGTATATCTATATTGATGAATGCTGCAAAGAAGAATTTTTTGTTCGCTGTTACGTTGCGCATTTGAGAACTTCAGTTACCAAGTGACGAGAGAAGGCTATATACGAGGGAGTAAAAAAAATAAAAAGGAATTATTTTTTAAGGGCTATTTATTTTCAACTTTTTCACAAAGTAACCTTATCTCCTTCAAAATACTGACCACTACAACTAATACACTTGTATCACCGGTGCTTCCACTGCTCGAAACATTTTTTGAAGTCTTCCTTAGAAATGTCTGACAGCTCCTCCCTCGTTTTTTTCTTGACCTCTTCAATGTCATCAAAGCGGCGTCCTCTGATGATCCTTTTCGTCCGTGGAAATAAGAAAAAGTCCCACGCAACCAGGTCAGGCGAATAGGGTCCGTGAGGCAGCGGAACCATGCCATTTTCAGGCAGAAACTGTCGAACAGGGATGGCTGTGTGCGCAGGTGCATTATCGTGGTTGAAGAACCAGTCTCCTGACTGCCACAAAGCGGTGTTTTTGACGAACATTGTTTCGCAGTCGTCTTAGAACCTCAAATAGCACAAGCTCTCGAATTTTCTTAACATTCTCGTCGATTCGGTCAGTTGATGGACGTCCAGAGCGAGGTTTGTCATCAATCGACATCATAAATCGAGCAAACCACCCATACACCTGAGTTTTTCCAATAGTATCATCTTTGTAAGCTATTTTCAACATTCAAACTGTTTCAGCAGCAACTTTACGAATTAGAAAGCAAGGTTTCACAGCTGCATGTTACTCACTGAAGCTTGTCATCGTAAAAGACGAAACAAGCACGAAACAGCTCTAGCAAAAATAACGACTACTGAGTAATGAGTTGTGTTGTACGCCTTAAGGGGCATACATGTGTACTACACAAGCTCCGCCCATTGCAATGCTATTCCGGTTATTTTTGGGTACCTCCCCGTATACTCAGTGACATTAGAAGTGTTACATCCAGAAAAAATAATTTTTTCAACTTGTTTGTTTCTTATTACTGATCAATAAAATTTCGTGAGAATGTTATCGTTTTATTCTTGATGTAAGACTACCTCATCGTCAAAAAATCATTAATTTTTTTTGTCTGGGCGTAATAATAATAATGTCACTCAGTATATTTGTCTAATGATGACTTCTGCGTTATCAGAAAACAAATGCTTAATTTTATTTGGCAAGGCTGACTGAAAAATGTTAATACTTCAGTGAGAATGCAAAGCACAAACGTGTAAGTCTTATATCTGCATATATGCTATACTCGTACTGCTGTAGTGTTCTATAGCTGACTTAGTTCTTGTCTATGCTTATTTTGAATAGTTTGCTATACTAAGTGACATATAAATCCGAACACCCAGTTTAAATGGTTTTATTTTAATAAAATTTTGTATAAGTACTTAATGAAGCATAATAAGTAAATGATAAAAATTTCAAAATGATTGCACTGCTTTAAAGCCCTTTGACCTTTAATAATGTGTGGATGCACCCTGATCTGCTACGCATTCTCCAACGCGCCTAGGCTGATCAGGTGGTCAATGTCCTCCTGTGGTATCTCATTCCAGGCAACCACCAACTCCTCTCGAAGTGCTTCTAGAGTCTGAGGAGGACGTTGCAAATTGAGCAATCTCCTACCCATCATATCCCACACGTGCTCAATTGGGGATAAGTCGGGAGATCTTGGTGGCCATGGTAACAATGTGACATCATTATGTTGAAAGAAGTCTATTGTGACTCTTGCAACATGTGGTCGGGCATTATCTTGTTGGAAAGTTGGATCTGCCAGGGTGTCAATATAGGGTAAAAGATGGGGTTCTAGAACTTCGTGGATATAACGCTGCACGTTCATGTTACCTCTGATGAAGATTAAAGGTGACCTGGAACCATAAGCTATAGCACCCCAAACCATAACTCCAACAGTGTGATGAACATGTCTTTCAACAAAAAACTGTGGATTCCTCCTTTCACCACGTCGCCTTCTAACCCTGGCACGACCATCGTGCATGCCTAACCAAAATCGAGACTCGTCACTAAAGACAATACTGTTCCATTCCTGATCCCAGAGTGACCGTTGTCTGCACCACTCAAGGCGATTACGTCGGTGTTCTCGAGTTAAAGGGAGGACCCAGTGTGGCCGGTATGAAAGCAAGCCAAAACTTCTCATTCGTCGGTAAACACTTCGCATGCCAATAGGTCTTCCGTGTTCTGCAAACCATTCATTTGCAATGGACCTGGTAGTGGAGAAACGGTCCCTTAAGGCCAATAATCTTAGGCGGCGATCTTCACGGTCTGTTGTTCTACGGCGGCGTCCAGTGCCCCTTGCTCTTTGCGTACGGCCTTCTCGAAGCCATGCCTGACAACACCTAACCACAGTGTCTACACTTCTTTGCACTCTAACTGCAATTGCCCGAAAAGAAAGTCCAGCTTCCCGAAGTCCCACTATACGGCCCCTATCAAGCTCACTAAGTTGACGAAATCGTACAGGTCTCCGTACTCTAGGCATTGTAACCGATCGTAAAGGATGTCAAGAACCAAAATCCGCCAACGTTGATTCTTTACTGCGGCTGAAATATTCATTTTTAGAGCGTTAGTGAATTA